AATTGTGTAGGATGAATCCGAGAAGAAGGAAGCAAACCTGTCAGTGTGATGAGTCTGAGTCTTGAGTCTGTTCCCCACTCCCTGAGGACAGAGCTTTACAACCATCTCACGGTATCTGCTGTGTGACACCCAGACATCTGCAAATAGGCTCTGCAGTCTAGATAGAAAAGCTCCTTGGTCAAGTTTTGCTAGTGGTTAAAGTCAGTCTTTAAAAAAAATGCATTTTAGTTGATAATTGGCAATGATCTGATTTCCAACATTGTCAAATTTCGTTGGAACATCACACAGCCATGAAATCATGCTGGAGAGTATGGGACACACATGGGACGATGGCACATGCAGAGACTCGTGGGGACAACAGCACAGCTCCCACAGGGGCCCCGCCCAGCCTCCCACCTGCCCATGGGCAGTGGCTGCTTGCTTGTTTTTTGGACTTCCAGGTTTCTGTTTCTGCTGCCTTGTGGCTGCAAGTCTTCCTCTCCCCCAAAAACTCCCCACACCAGGGTACTGTGGGCCCCTTGTGGCCTGCCCTCCCCCAGGCCCTGTACACCCACTCAGTTTAGCCCTGTCTTACAGAAGTTGTCATGAATGCTCTCCCCTGTTTCAGTTACTTAGGAGTTGTTCCAACAAAGTAACAGAATAACCAGAAATGATGTTAAGTCTGTCTGCTGTTCTTAAAATTTTACATCTGGTGAAATCCATGTAGTAAACTGCAAAATGGGAATTATGTAATTATTAATTAATAATAAAGTTATGATAGCCCTTTTTTGAAATTGTCAAAAATATGCTTTCTGTATTTTCCAGGTTTTTTACATTTAATATATCTTCTAATATCAGATTAAAAATACCTTAATTAGCAAACCACATTATTAAGGTAAGCACTCAGATAGTATTAAAAACAAATAGTGAAAAATGAAATACACTCTGCCCGGGTCAGTGTGGCTGTCGGTTGGAGCATCTTCCCATTGTCAGAAAGGTTGTGGATCTGTCTATTCATGGTCAGGGTGCATACGAGACAGCAACCAGTCAGTGTTATTCTTCCTGAAAAAAATGAAATATACTCCTACTCCAGACCTAAGCCATTCTCTAGTCACTCACTCCCAACAGGTCCTAGATTAAATTCTAATCTAATCAAATAGCTCTCTTTTTTTATTAAATTATACACATATACAGATGGGCACATACACTGTGGCTGCACAAATAGGAATGTACTGTAACACTGCTTAGAACCTTGATTTTTACTGATCTAAGTATCTTGGACAGACTTTCACCTTAGTGGCTGCTTATTCTTTTCAACAGCCACATAGTGTTCCAACCTAGGGATTGCCACAGTTCATATACAATTACATACATGTGTCTACAGAAATATACACACCCACATACAAACACAGATGGATTTCTAGATTTTCCTGTTGGGCATCTTTTGCACATATGGGTGTGTCCACACTGGTTGCTGGCGGGGAACTGCTGGGTCAGAGGTTCTCGCAGGTGTTGCCCAGGGGCCTGCAGGAAGTTGCCCTGTGTGTGTAAGTACTGCCAGGCCACTTACTAGTGCACAACATAGCCAGCTGTCTTGTGCTGCTCTTCTGCAGTGATGGGACACGGCATCTGGCTCTAATGTACAAACCTACCCTACACAGGACAAGTGGGGTGAAGTGTTGATTGCCATTGAGGGTCTCCATTTCACTGACCTGGGAACTGAGAGGGGTTCTGGGCTGGGTGAGGAGGTTGAATAGAAGGGGCTTGAGACCTCCTCCCAGTCTCTACCAGCAGAGTGTGGCTGTGGGCTCAGGGACACCAGGGCGCTGAGCCTGAGCTTCCGTGGGCAGGAGGAGGCTGGCGGAGCCCCAAGACACTTTGCAGGAGGGCACTTAGATGTACTGGCAGCCAAATCCTGCTTTTATATCCTACCACGTCTTTTCAGCAGCTGTTCCCAGGTATGAAGAATCACCACTGGTACTTAGGTAGTGCTTTCAAGTTGCCACACTCTGCTTTAAGCTCTTCACAAGGTTACTTCTGGGTTCTCGAAACAATCAAATGTTTCAGGCACTACTGTTATGCCCACTTTCTGGATAAAGAAACAGACCCAGAGAGGCCCAGAAATGTCCCCAAGGACACACAGCTGGTTAATGGAGAAGCCTGGCCGGTAACCCAGGTCATCCTTCCTGCAGAGCCCCATGCTCTGGCCACATCCCACCTGTGCCTTCTCCACATGCTAAAGAGAAGACCTGGCTGCTGCTGGGTAAGGGGCTTTCTGAAGGGAGGTCACAGCTGCAGAACTCAAGCGAGATGCAAAGGCAAAGACCCGCTGTACCCTGGCCCTTTGCTGCTGTCATGAGCAGCCATCAGGCCTGGGCGTCAAGGCTCCCACACTCCTACCCTGCTGGGGGGTAAAGGCATGTTTCTCACCAGGGAGAGGGAAACAATTCTTTTCTGACTTAATTTTATTATTTTGTTTTGCAAATGGACCTTACATTCTTTATAGGTACCTGTTATAAGAAGTTAGGAGAAGCTTAGTGAAAACTATATGGTTAGTAATTACAGGAGGAATGATGAGGACCCCAGCTCATGGGGTCCATGTCATTATGGAGGAAAATGAGACATTCACACAGGCTACCGAATCCGGTGGAGGAACAGGCATGGCACGGCTTTTCTGTCAAGGGGAGCAAAAGTCTGGTCCTCTCTCCAATGAGCTTTTATTGTCTTACTGGGCACATTACAAGAAGGTCCTCATTAACTATGCACAGGCTTGCTTTAGGTGGTTACCTTATACAGAAGACAAAGGAGAGGATGTTGGTAATCACATCACAGAAGAGGGATATTTGCAAATGAAAAGGCAAAAGTAGTTGGACAGGTTACACTCATCCTTGGAAGGTTTAGCATGGTTTTTAGGAAGTTGCTTTGCAGTAAATGTCCTCAATTCAGGGTGAGGGAGTTTTAGCAAAAAGCAAGACTCAAAGCGGCCTAGGTACATTGCAGGCCTGATTCCCCACGGAAGAACCTATCCGTGGGCGTGGGTCCTGTGCATCTGCTAGTGGGAGCTGGGTCCACGCCACGCAGAACAGTCTACCACAGAGAAATATGTATTTTGTGATCTTTAGTGTGTAATAACTAATTATATAGAGCTTGTGGGGTTTTAGCTTGAAAAGGAAGAAAAATTGCCTTGATGAAGTGTGTAGACAGCTAGGGGTTGAGGCCTCTGTGGTTGACTGAGGCCGGAAATATGTATTTTTACCAAGGAACCGCAGGGGCTAGAAGCCGTTTGCGGAGGTGACATATGGAAAGTTGGCTTGAAGGAGGAAATGAGGATGCCCAGTGCACTGAGAGAGGTTATTAAGAGTGCAGACCCCTGGCCTGTGTTGTGTGTTCATTACCAGGAAACGAAGGTGAATAGGGTATGTGCTTGTCCAACCACAAAACAAGCAACTCTGGGCTTTTATTTATTAAAATAGCAAAGCCTTATTTAATTTCTAGAAGACAGACATTTTTCTGTTTATGATTTGTAGTGTTCATGTTGTTTACACGAATCACTCTTTTTCCCAAGACATCTCCAGATGGCTTCTGGACCTCGTCTGTCTGTGTGACAGGAAACCCTCACAGTTCTTCAGGTTTGCCCCTCACGTGTCCATCAAATAAGCCAGCGTCTCCCCTGGCATTCAAATGGAAGACAGCAGTTCTGTGTGCTGAGTGGATGTGGCCTTGTCCAGGACACTTGCCTACTTGCTAAGATGTGAAGTTATTTTTGCTGACAAGGCAAAAGTAGTTGGACAGGTTACATTCATCCTTGGAAGGTTTAGCATGGTTTTTGATTATGATCAAAAGGATCAGCAGCAGGGGCAGCAGTGCTGCTGGGAAAAAGTCAGAGACAGCCACTGCTGTGGGAAAGGCCTAGACTCAGTCTTTGAAAGCCTTACCACAGTGGGTCCTGATGAATCCTAACCATTTTCTCCTGTCACTTTGGGATCTCATTTGCTAATGTGAGGTTTCTGCTTAGGGTGCAGGGGACATGTCAGGCTCCAAGGGGCCCCAGGTGACCCTGGAAATCATGTGCCATTGGTGGACATGTAAGAGTGGTATGCACTCTGGTCTCTGTTCTGTGAGCATGCTTGGTCCCACTTGTCGAGGCTATGAGGGAGAGAAAGGGCACGAGCTTTGTTCCTGGGAGCCCCTCCTACTTCTTAGCTGTCTTCAGAGAAATGTCAAGAATTGTTTAAGCTCTTAAAGTAAAAGAAATTAATACTCCAATGACAAATAATGCTAGAATTTGATTCTCAGGTTTAAAAAGTATGCTGGATCATATGCAGCCATAGAGGAGTCAGCATCCATTTAACCAACTGCTAAGCCTTCATTAATCCTACACAGTGACCTTTGGTTTCGCCATTCTGATTGTCTTTGTTGAATAATTGGTGATTTTACTGGACTTGGGTCCCTGTATTGAGGGCTGTGTCCTGCACTGTGCAGGGATAACAAGCACCCCAGAAACCTTGCTGCACCAATGTGGAAATTCTTCTGTTTGGCTTAAAAACAGCAATCAAAAACAAAGAAAATTAAAAAGCTAAACAGGTTCTTTAGGAAATCACTTTCTTGTAAATATTTTGTATTTATATTTTGCTTTCTCTTTCATTGCCTCACACCTTTGGGTTTCAAGGAGGATGAGTTCTAAAGGATATATCGGAAGTTAATGGACAATTCAGGGATACTTTTAATTAATGACTGTAACTGTGGTTCATTTTGTGGGAAAGTGGCAACTGTCAGGGACTGGAGATGAGCTCTGTACCTGGGTGACCAGCTGAGTAGTGTGTCCTTTGTTTATGGATGAATGATTGCATATTCACTCCATTTGTACAAGTGCATGAATGCCATGCCAATCCTGGGTCAGAGGGTCCAGAACGTAAAAAAAAGTTAGACATTTCTTTTTAATACTGTCCCAGAATTGATGCTGACTTTATATGGATGGATAACTTAAGTGTTTAAATGTTCTTGTTTCCCATTATTTCCAGAACAAAGATTTCTAAAGACTTCTTCCTAGAAACGATTGCGAAGTTTCAAGAGGCACAAGATAAAGGTAAAGTCTTTTTCTTCCCTTAATCTGTATTCCAGTTTATCAAAGTTGACACTTTGTGGAAGCCTCAGTGAGATTCAGCAGAAAGTTGGATGTTGGTCCCTGCACGTTCCGAGGGGCCCAAACCTGGGCTTGGCCACTGTCCCTTGGGTTGGCTCAAGGTGGACCCCAGGGGCCAGGAGGTACGGTACACCTGGACCTCCATGCATCACCTGATTTTCCTTCCTCTTCCCTTACCTCTCCTGGCCTGTGCTGCTTCACCAGTGTTCTGGCTGTCGGTCGCTCTCTAAGCCTGGAAATGCTCCATCTTCTCTTTGGGAGCACATGGGTGTTGTCTGTGAGGTCCAATGCAAAAAGAGGGATTTCAATGTCATTATGCCCTGGATTTGGGCATAATTTTGTGATTAATTTTAATTTTGGTCCATTAATACATGGTCAACCATGTATTTTCAGGTTTAGAGGAAAGAGAAATGCCAGTTTAATTTATAAAAACAAAAGGAAATCCCACATCTCATCTCACCCTCTTCTGTAACTCGAGTGTCATGAGTGGACCAGCAGGACTATCGCTCTGCTGCCAGCAGGGTCCTGGGTATTGACCATGCGTGTGGCACACAGCTCATGCCAGTTTGGTGGGCAGCAGTCATGATGCAGCTTTACTTCCGGACACTTGGCACTTTCTGCTTGTTGGCTGGTCACAGACAGACACATGTTGTTAATGGCCTGGTCTGCTGGGCTGAGCCCCAAATTTTCTTATTGGTGTGTCAGGTCGTGACATTAACTAGGAATTCCAAACTCTAGAATTTATGCTCCCAGGATTTTTCCCCCTATATCATTTGTCTTTGAATTTTGCTTGCTGCACTGTCAGTTTATCGTACCAGGCAGGGGTCCCCACTGCTCTGGGTACCCACCCTGCATATGCATGCCCCTCTCAGCATGTGCCTTTCATCACTGCTGGTTGATTCATAGTCAGTTGGTTGGTGTGTGTATGTGTGTCCCTCACCTCACTGCCCTGTCCCCTCCCTATCTCCCATCAGCATACACAGTACACATGTGCCAGGTTTGGGTGAGGGAACAAGGTTGAGGCATGTATGGCAACCTGACTGGCTTGTTTGCCCGTGCAAGGTGGCTGGAGAGGGAAGCAGGGGTCCTGGGGTGCAGGGGTCCTGGGGTGGTGTCCTGGATGATGTTATCCAGAGTGAGTGCAGCCCACCTCCAGGGCTGTGCACGTCTCCATGTAGCTGGAGTGCTGCTCCCAGCAATCTGCCCTGGGAAACTGCAGTTGAAACATAAACTCTTTGTTGTGGGCATATGACACAGAGAGCTCCTGAAATCTATACTGATTCCTGAGGGGACAAGGCCATTACTTTGAGGTGGTGACATGAGCACCATAGCTAGAGTTGGGTAAGGGGACCAGAGGTGGGGGAGAGAGACATGACAGGGGGCATGGGTTGGGGACGGGAGGCCAGGGGTATAGGTGGGGACATGGGTTAGGAGACAGCCTGGGGTTATGCAAGGGAACATGACCATGGGGACAGCTTAGGGGTGGCATTGGTCGGATATAGTCTTAGGTGATTACCTCACACTCTGCTCTCAGCTGAGAGGAGAAGGTGTGGGCAGGTGCATGTCCTCCATTGTCCTGACCACATGGCCTGGAGGTAGAGGAGGGCTTCAACTGTCTTGTTTTTTCATAAACCCCTTAGTCAAGAAGCCAGAATAGGCTGCCCCAGCAGTCATCTACAGCTGTCACCTAGGATCTCCTTTCATGGGTTCCCTGGAGAGTCCAGTGAGGGCACTTTTAATGTCAGCTAGCATCCTGTTGCTGACGGGCACTGACACATTATGTGTGGTAGTGAGCAGTGTCCCCTCTGTGACCCATTCCTACTGTCCAGATAACTGGTTCTAGGAAGGGAAACCAAGGTGTGAGGTGGGTGTGACAGACAGCACCTGCAGTCCTCAGTTCCTGCCTCCCCAGACACCAGCCTGCAGTCACCATTTGCATCTGAGAATGCAACACTAGATCAGATTGTTGTGCTCATCAGAACAGCGTGCATACCGTACCACACATGTGTGGATATGCACACATGCATGCACACACACATGACTCTGCATAACATGTGCCCACATTCATGCACACATGCGATTTACGCACAAAGATTAACCTATACCTGAATGCACACGTGTGTGCAAACACAGATGCTTGTACATGTATGTCACACTTATATAATGTGCACACAGATGCACACACATAGAACTCAGATGTATACAAGTGCACAGGCATGTATGCACACATGTGTACACAGAGATGTATGTACAGAGTTTCATGAGCCAGCCCTTACCCTTGCTGCTTGCTGTTTGCTGGGTACACCTGTTTTCTTTGCCACAGCCTCCTGGCTGATTCAAGGCCATTCTGGTGTCAAGCTACCATGTGAATGGCACTGAGTGATGGGCTCAGAGACCCCCTGGCTTCTGTTCTCCAGGTATAGAACTGGATCGTCACTCCTTGTGAACCAGCACAATTGTGTATAGGTAATGGGAGTATCATGTGTGACCCTGTCTTCCTGATGGGCCCCCTGTCTGTGTGTGAAAGGAAGCACTTCACATGGGAAGGTGAAATACTACTGCTGACACTCAGCTCACCAGCCCTGCCAGATACCTCCACTCCTCAGAATTGCCCAGGAAAGCCAGCAGAATGGGCACTTTATACTATTGTTTCCATTTAAATATTTAGGCTGTGATTCCTAATGTGAGATCCCCTCTGTGGTTGCAGAGCCAGGCTGCTGGTGGAGTGCATGGTGGCAGCATGTCGGTATAGGTGTGGGGTGTGCTTTGCTTAGCCAGTTTTAAATTATAAAAAATAATGCATACAGACCTCAGTGTCCTACAGCTGTGTGGAGTTTTTGCAGAGTATTCAGCAGTCACTGGGCACTTGGGAATGCTTAATGAGTGGGTTGCATTAATAGCACAACACTGTGTGAGAGACTTCACCTAGCCTGGGCTCCTGAATCCACCTGGTGCCCAACTTCCCATGGAGGGCAGGAGAGCAGTGTCCCCACCCAAGGCCAGGGGCCAAGGGTAACATGTCTCCTACATAGTGAGCACTTCTGAGAGTTCCTCTGCAGACAGTGAGCACTCACAGACTCTCCATGAGGCAGCCTCTCTTCCTCCTGGTACATCTGGTTTTACACTTGGAGTTTGGGTTAAACCCTTGCTGCGGGGTACCTAGCCAGTCATCCCTCTGGATCCCAAGAGCAGGGCTTGGCGTGCAGACTGGCGCCCGTTTCTGCAAGTGGTTGGGTTGGTACATAGCCACATGCTATTATGGTGGACTTGAGTAGCAGGGATGACACTGCAGGACTCAAGAAGCTGACAGTAATGTCTCTCTGGCCCTTTGTGGCAAAGGGGTGCTGCGTCTGCCCAGTATGTGCCAGTCCCAGGAGAAAATGAGGAACTGAGTGCTCCCTGACCTCAAGGGCTAATAGTAGGTCAGGATGGGGAATAGACACCAGATGAGTGGGAGCCTGGCTGGGTGGGCCTCCAGGCCCAGAAGAATAAGTGCAGAGGGGGTGCTGGTGAGGAAGGTGGAGGCAGATGAAGATGTGAGCAGATGAGGCTCAGTGGTGCCCGGTGTTTCCCCAGCAGGTGAGTCCCTTTGGTGAAAGTCCTATCAGTTCCTCTTTAGGAAATGGAGCTGGGCAATGGTTGTGCCCCATTGACATGTGTAAAAATAAAGAAAAGAAAAAGAAAAAGGAACCTTTTAAGCTCACAGGGCTACTGAGGACTAGTATGCTATCTGCTGAACTTTGGGGGCCATACAAGGACACTGGGGGCACAAGAAGAGACACAAGAGGTGACTTCCCCAGATGGGATGATGAAAGGGCTTCCTGGAAGCAGTGACTTGACTAGTTGGACAGGAAGCCAAAACTCCTAAAAGCCTTTTGGAAGGTTTGGTTTGTCCTGATGTATAGGGGAGCGAGGTAGGACAGGCAGCTGGATAAGTACTAGTGTATGGGCAGTTGTCAGGGGCCTCCATGGAGGAAGGAATGAGGAAACTTGCTGCCCCTTGGATATCATTGAGGTGTGGTGAAGTCAGGAGTCTAGCAGTGCTGATGGGGTCAGGGGAAGGTTCCAGAGAGGAGCCTGAGGTGTCAGAGAGGAGCCTGAGGTGTCAGTTGGACTGATAGACCTGGAGGTGGTTTTCTTGGTGCGGGGGTGGGGGGGGGGTGGTGGGAGAATGAGAAGGAGGTGGCGATGGCCAACTCCCAGGGCCTATCTTAAAGAAGGGGAAACTCAGTGAGGAGGTCAAGCACCAGCAAACCCATGGAGCCTTCTGGGGACAGTGTGACTACAAAGTGTGGGATGGGTTCTGCTGTAACTTAACTTCACTCCCCAAATGTACTGGGCAAGGGTCCTGCCTCTGCTCAGCCGGTATGTTGGTTTGAGCTCCTTCCTGAGAAGTAGTAAGAGACCGTCTCAGACTCTTACTGGGATCCTAGTGGGCCAGTGAGTCAGGGCAGGCCCTGTGATGGATCACCTGATTTACTGATCTGGAGCCAGCTAGCCTGCAGCTCATGTCAAGGAACCTTGCAGATGGCACCTGGGGCAGGTAGAGTGCAGCTGCCCCAGCTCCACAGTTTCTCACTTCAGCCTGTGCTTTCAATGAGGTATTTCTTAGTGGCAAATGAACCCATGTCCACTGTTTCCCTGGAGCACAGACTTTTCAGGGAGGCTGGAAGAATTGGCCCATTGGGGATGGAGGCCCTGTCCCCTGCAGGAAGTCAGCCACTTCTGCATGAAAAGGTCACACGCGTGCTTGTGTGTGCACATGCACATATTTCAGCCTCTGCTGCCCTCTGGCCATTCACTCTGGCTATCTTTCTTGATGAGCAGTACACCTTGAGAAGCCAAAGTCTCTGAGGGAAACTGAAACTCTGTTCCTCTCTTATCGCATGACCAGCTGGGTAGGCAGGTGAGCATTTGTCCCCAGGTCTGGCTCCCCCGTCTGTCCTGCATTCCTGGTGGCCTCAGGGGATGGAAGCATTGACCCTTGTAACTCCGGCATTGCTACAGAGCATCTGGGGTGCATTGTCTGTCCCCCTTGGAGTTTTGTGTATCCCTGTCCCCTCAGCAACTCAGCAGACAGAGCCCATGGCTGGAGCTGTGGGGAGAGCAGAGCTCTGGAGGATATTGAGCAAACAGAAAGTAGGCCATATTGCCACATATCCTGACTGGTCACCCCTTCCTTTTGGCTTTCTTCCAGAGTTTCTGCGGAAGGTCGGAAAGAAGCACACCATTTAAGAATAGAACCGAGAGTCCTGTGACATTGGCAGTGGTGAGAGCCACCTGACCCCACCCAGTGTGCTGGGAAATGTGGGTCCTCAGGGGTCACAGTGCCCATCAGTTCCAGGAAGTACTGCAGGTCACAGTTCTGGGGCTCTGAGCAGCCTCCACTCGGACCCTCACTGTGGCCTTCCCTGCCCACAGGCATTTGCTGCTGAAGTCCCTGCCGCAGCCCCTGCCGATGAGGATGTGTGCCCCCACTGGGGGGCTGCTCATTGCCCTCACCATGGTATTTGAGGCAGCTGTGGCATTTGCACCCATACCTAGGATCATCTGGGAGCACAGAGGTGAGGGCAGAAATGAGTCAGGTGCTAAGGGCATCTGCTCCTGATGCTGAGATGCATGTTCACCATTGGCTGGCTGGCTCTGTGCTCTTGGCACTTGTATGTGAGCAGGCAGTCTGTACCACCTGTTGCAGGAGGTATTTGGTAACCGGAAACACTTGTGGGACTGGTAGGGCCTGCTGATCTGGTTTCTAAATCCAGGGCCCCTAAAGGAAGCCCATTTCCCTGCCTGGTGATGTTTGGTGTCCACTGTCTTAGGCAAAAACCACACTGGGTCCTGTTTTAAGGACATTAATTTTGTGCAGCAGAGCTTCAGGCTGGGGGTTCCTATTTGCTGTTTATTAGTTTCTTTTGTATTTATTTCTTCTCTTGGGAGCTGCGTCTTGGGACTGGAACCCTGGCTTTCCAGGCTCAAAGCCTGCAGAGCTGGGCTGTCCACAAGAGTTGTGGGCAGGCGGTGTGCTGGGAAGACCTGCGTCCTGTGGCCTCAGTCTCTGATGTTGGTACTTGGAAAAGCAGGAAGCATGAACTCCTAACCCCTGAATGAATACACAGAAAGCCAAGTTCAAAACACTCACATTGATGCTGGGGTGGTTAAAAAGAAGCAACAGCTCCTTAGAAAACAATGCCAATATATATCACCCCTAGTAGCTAATGATTACATTCTTCCTGTTCCTAAATAGCTGTTGATCAATTAATTAGGTAGTAAAGGAAAATGTCACTTCTTTCTCTGCTTTGTAAGTTTGTGTTGGTTATCTCTGAAAAATACTTGGATTAAGGGATATATTCACTGAATCAATTTAATTAAAGGTAATTTTTTTTTACTGAAAATCCTAAATAGTTAAAATCTTTATGTACCCCATCTGTGGATGGTTCAACACACATAGATAAGAATTTCATTCAAGGTGGACAGAGCTGCCATGGTCAGCAGCTTGAGTTGTGTCTGGCCTGCAGACTCCTGACAGGTCCCAGGTCACACTGCCAGGCGGTCACACTGCCAGGAGGACATGCTGCTGGAGGTCACACTGAGTGCAAGGTTTGGAACTCTCAGCTGGTGGGAACAGAAAGAGAAGTCTGACCATAGCACTAGTCAAGCACAGTGGGGCCTCACAGGGGACCCACACACTTGGTGGCTGCCTCATTAGAACTGCTCCACCCAGAGGTGCCTGAGCTCTGGCCCTGGAGGGTGGGGGTATGGCAGTATGGCAGTGCTGAAGTGAGAACAGATGTTCAGGGTGTGCCCAGGCTCAGAAATACCTAATGCACTCTCCTCACCCTGACTCCTCTCTCCCCAGAGGTGCAGCTGGTGAAGTTTCACCAGCCAGGCATCTTCAACTACTCAGCCTTGCTGCTGAGTGAGGACAAGGACACCCTGTACGTGGGCGCCCGGGAAGCTGTGTTTGCTGTGAACGCACTTGACATCGCCCAGAAGCAGCATGAGGTATGGCCTGGCTTCCAGCTCCCCTGCGGTCTGGGCTGCAGACCTTTGCAGTGTTTTCTGCTCAAATCAGCACATGCGGTTCCTCCCCAATCATCAGGCCCTTCCTTGGCCATGCTTAGCCTGTGGCAGGCCTCAGATGTCCTGTCTAAAGAGCAACCTCCCCTCCAGTCAGTGGGCCAAGGGCCCTGTCATCTGGCAGCTTTCTTCCTGCACTGTGTCCACGCCACCCCAATCTTAGATGTTCCTGGCAGCCTTATCCACAGACTACCCACCCTCTTTTCAGCTTGAATGTCTGCAGTTATTATTAAGGACAAGCTCAAGGGTACACAGGAGTGGAGAGAGTGATGCGCTGGACCCTCTGCCTATTGCAGCTCCTGTGGATGGGAGTGGGCCCCTTGTCCTCCACCGCGTGCCATGCCCCCCCCCTCGCCCGCATCTCCATGCTCTGCTCCCTCTTCTGGGTGAAGCAAAAACCCAGATACACGGTCCTCATTTTTTAAAGGTTTCTCTGGGCATCTCCTAAAGAAGAGAACTCCTTTTTTTTTTTTTTTCAAAATAACCAAAATACCATTATCATCCAAAAAATTAATGTCAAATAATCAGTGTTCAGATTTCACAGACTCTCTCATGAATGATGTTAGATTATTCAGTTTGAATCTGGTAGAGATCACGCCATCCATGTCCCTGGGCACACTGTCCCATTTCTAGGTGCCTCCCTGGGTACCTAGAAATGCTGGGAGAGCTGTGCTGTAGCCCTGTGGCCCCCAGCCTCATCAGTCTGGCTCTTGGTGTCCTTAGTACAGGTAGGGCCCCCTGCCACTGAGGCAGGTGTTCCTCTCCTGGCCCTCAGCCAATGCAGTCTAGCACCATCGAGCATTGTAAAATGGGATTTTCTGTATTTTTCCTTCTATATTTTTCCTTCTCCATTTTTGAGCCATAATCACCTTTAAAGGGGACATGTCTGTTTCCAAAGGAGACAGGGAGTTTTTTTATTTTCTTTCTTTCTTTCTTTTCTTTCTTTCTTGACCATGAATTCATGAATTTAAATGTGTTTGAAGCCCCTTGATCCATTTGCATTCAGGTTCTCACTCGATGCCCAGGTTGTCACCTCTGACCAGTGGCAGCTTCTCTTTGGCTTGTGAGTTTTGGCATGGTATAGTTTTCTCAGTCTGTGAAATCAAGATGGTTCAGGCTACTGTTGTGCATTTTCTGCCCCAGACCTTTTATTTTTTGTTTTGTCTTCATCTCCAGAGTCTAGCATAGTACCAATTTCTTTTTCTTTTTTTAAGATTTTATTTATTTATTTTTAGAGACCAGGAAAGGGAGGGAGAAAGAGAGGGAGAGAACCATCATATGTGGTTGCCTCTTACATGCCCCCTACTGGGAACCTGGTAACTCAGGCATGTGTCCTGACTGGAAATTGAACCAGCAACCCTTTGGTTCGCAGGCTGGCATTCAATCCACTGAGCCACACCAGCCAAGGTACACATAGTACCAATTTCTGTTTGACACATAAATGAGCTTCTGGTCATTACCCTTTGAAAATAAATTGCATGCATGACCACTTGGGTGTTCAGTCAGAGCTGTCATTGTTCTGTGCATGACATTATTACAGCCCCTTGGGGTGAGGGAGAAGCTTCAGGGCCTCCTCTACATAAAAGAGAAGAAAAAGTGAAAGCCATGGCCAGGCTTCAGTGGACTCCATGAATGGGATCAAGGGCCTGTCAAGTTCATGTCCCCCTGTTTTTGTACAATTCATGTAGATAATGAAATCACATGTTGTCATTTCTGAAGGAAGTTGCTGTTTGAAATGAGATTTGATTCTGCTTTCAAGTGTCCTAATGGGGACTTTGTTTCTTTAAAAATGTGCTGCTCTGTTGCTGTGCCTGCTGTTTGGGCCTTGACTGGAAGCTGAGTTAGTGTGGAGGACACATGGCAGGGATTTACCTCCCTGCCATTGAGAAGCCTGCTTGCTTCCTGACCTTTGAGCCTAGATGGCTGGCTTTTATCCTCTGGATGGAAAATATATATATTTGGCCCTGGCTGGTGTGGCCCAGTGGATTGAGTGCTGGCCTGTGAACCGAAAGTTCTCTGATTTGATTCCTGGTCAGGGCACATGCCTGGGTTGCAGGTCTGGTCCTCAGTTGGGGGCGTGTGATAGGCAGTCCATTAATGTATCTCTCACACAGTGATGTTTCTCTTCCTCTCTTTCTCCCTCCCTTCCCCTCTTTCTCCCTCCCTTCCCCTCTCTCTAAAAATAAATAAATAAAATCTTTTTTAAAAAGAAAATATATATATTTGGCATCAATCATGGCATAGCCCCATGTGGGAGAGGAAAGGCAGGGGTGTGGGAGCCCTTAGTCATGTGGCCTGCTGCTGTCCATCCTCTGGAGGGCAAGCGACCCACTGGCCTCATGGTCCTATGCATGAATCCACCTGGTGTAAGAGGCAGGAACACAGATCTCAGTGGGCATTGCTCGACCTGAGTGGTGTTGCTTTGGCATGCTCAACTGCTGCTGTCATGTAAAATTCACAGAACCCCTCCTTCCTGCCATTGAGCCAATAGTGGAAGTAAATGTTAAGGTTGCTTTTATTGGCCTCTAGGGCAACTTTTAAGTGGATTTTATTTTTTTATTTTTTTAACATATAGTCTTTATTATATTTTTTCCATTACCATTTAATCCCCTTATACTTCCCTCCTCCCTGTCATCATTGAATGGATTTTAAAAACCCACTTTGACGTTTGAAAGTACCTACAGTTTAGCTTTTTAATAAACTTAATCATCCCCACTTTCAGTAGTTTAGTTTTTGCTGTTGTTAGCAGTGAATAACAGGGAACTGGGAGAGTCCTTCTAGGCCCCTCTGACTTTGGGACAAGGCTTCCTAGTTAGAACCTTCACTCAGTGTTTGCTCTCTCAGCCTCACTTTGCAGTCTTGTGTTTCACTGTCTTGGGAGAAATCTGCTGTCATGCTACCATGTGCTTTGTAAACTGTGCATTCTTATACCAGTGTCTGCTTTCTAAAGGAAGACTATGCACTGAAATAGATTCTTACTCCTCTTGACAGGCATATTGGAAGGTCTCAGAAGATAAAAAAGCAAAATGTGCAGAAAAGGGGAAATCCAAACAGGTAATTTATTTTGCAAGCTACAAAAACACACAGGTATCTCATTGATTTAATCTTCTGAATGCTGCTACTTTGGGGATGCAGCCTGGGTCTCTCATGACTCATCTACCCGTCTATTCCTAGGTGGTGAAATTGGGTCTCTCAAAGTAAGAATCATAGACATTTGATAAATACTTTTTAAAGTTTAACTGAATGAACTTATTCACATGACATAAAACTTTAACTATGGAAAGTGATTTCTGGTGCCTGCTGGCTAATGTTGTCAAAATATGGGGTTTATGCCCCCTGCATCCCAGCAGCCTGGAGGGGCTCAGATAGGATTTCTGGATTTTGGGCAACACTCGTCCTTTCTCCAGGAGATACTGGGCTCCTCAACATGGTGGCCATGCAGGGAGCGCTGGACTAAGTGTCAGAGTGTTGGCGTGGTGCCTATGGGAAGAGATGAGCTGAGTGTTCATCTCCCTCTGGAACACTGGGTTGTCCCCTACCCACAGGGCAGCCTTGCCCTCAGCTTGTGCTGGGCAGATGTCAGGGTCTCGGGCTCTTAGAGCCCTGTCTCCCTAGATAGTGGGTCCAGACAGCTGAATTAAGGTAAATTTTAGCAGTTGTTGGCTGTTTTCAAAATAATTAAAACTTTTTAAAGAAGATAAGTAATGTTTTGCTAAACTTTTTTAGCAAAATGCTAAATAGTTTCACTAAAGCCACTAAATCCAAAGTTACTTTAGGAAATGAGGGAAAATGTGGGCATTTCAATGTAATAACAGATGTCTCAAGGAGTTGTCTTCAAGCTAAATTAGACCAGAGTTTTGTGTGGTCCATGTTAAGGCCATGCACTGTACAGGGGTCCCTCCCAGCTCTTGCATGGAGCATGAATTACTCTTAACCAGATTAAAAGCGATTATAGTACAAAAAAACTTCCCTCAGTGGTGATAATTTCAGATGATAGTGCATGTAACCCAATCTCATTTTAGCCTAAAGTAGCAAGTGGGTTCTTAAGTGGCACCTGGTTTTCCTGTGGCCTTTCCGATGTGGAGCTAGGCTTGGAGCCCCTCATTAGTCGAGCCTCTCCCCTGGGCTGGGCAGGCCAAACACAGTCAATCCCCAAGCAGTGTTTCCAGTGTCATGTGTTGGGGTGAGGAGGGTGGGGTCCCTCAGAGGAGGAGGCCAAAAGAACCCTACACAGTGTGCACCTCTGCAGGTCTGTCAGTAATGCATGATTTGTGTGTTCCATAAGTAAAAACGCCCTTTCTGAGGTAGGTGGTAAGACTTGAGGTCAGCTTTCATTGCATTTTTGGCCAGCACATCTTTTCTTTTTGTCTGTAAATTAGTGATTGCAGTTAAACTCCCCATTTAGCACTGACAGACCTGTGGACATTGCAGAGACCAAAGCACTCAGCCTGGCTACAGATTGAGGTTTGCCTAGGGGCAGGACAGGATCTCCTGAGCCGGAAGCTGCAGGGAGAGCAGCCAGGGCGGTGCTGGTGGGGAAACGGGGAGCATGGGAGAGGGCACAGTCAGTGCAGTCAGAGCTGCTCATGTGAGAGCTGATGTTAGCATGTGTTCTGCTAACTTAGAGCTCTGAAGTGAAAAGTGTGACCAATGTGGATGTGGAGGGCATCCAGTGGAAGCTCTTGGTGGTTGACCTGTGCATTTCTCTTCTTAGACTGAATGTCTCAACTATATCCGAGTGCTACAGCCACTTGGCGCCACCGCCCTTTATGTGTGTGGGACCAATGCCTTCCAGCCAGCCTGTGACCACCTGGTAAGGCCTGGGCCCCTCCCTTGCTCACCATTACAGCAGAGTGGGGCTCCTGGCAGGTGTCAGGCAGTCTCCACTCTGCACAACAGAAACTTGTTCTAATTTCCAGCTGTGTGAGGAGGGGCAGCTGGGGCCCAATTAGGCCTCAGCTTCCTGTCTGTAAACTTATCATGACTGAGGGCAGAACTCATGGGACCATGGCCCCTGGTGCAGAGCTTGCATGGGGGTCCTTCTGGGAAGTACAGTGTTAATAGAAAGAAGCACCAATGTGCCATGATCCGATATCATCCCTCCTTCTCCTTGTCATGATTTGTGTTTTGTGAGGGTGGCCTGGCTATAACAAAGGTTTTTATCAAGTGTCAAAGTCAGGACTTGACCACCCTAGAGGCACCAGCACTGCCATCTCCATCTCACAGATGAATAAGCTGAGGTGTAAAGGTCCTGAATAGCTCTTCAGAGCCAGAGTACTGGCATCCAGACCTTGGACTGGTCTCTCCTGCTGCACACACACTCTTCCCTCAGTGCCCCAAACAATGAGTCTAAAATTGATGATACAATGAAAATGCATTATTACTACTGAAATTCAGGCATTCGATGATACTTTTTTCCATTCAATTGTAGAACCTAACATCTTTTCAATTTCTTGGGAGAAATGAAGATGGCAAAGGAAGATGCCCCTTTGACCCAGCACACAGCTACACGTCTGTCATGGTTGGTGAGTTGTGCTATGGGATGCCTGTCACTGGCAAGGCCCCTGTCACCTACAGAAGAGTCATACGGGATGCTCAGTGCCTCCCCCTTTACTGTAGTCTCCCCCTGCTCCCCTCCCATAGTCACTGTCCTCTGCAAAGGTACTCATGCCTCTCCTTAGACCCTCTGACATGAGCTCTAATTCATTGTTCAAAAGGATAGTCAGCCCCACCGTGGTCAACAAGTTGGACCTGTGGGGAGAGGTTGTTTTATAGCCATCATTTGTGTAGATTGTCTGAGTTACTTGGCCACTTGGAGCTGACACTCTTGTTAGCAGGGAGTTTTGTGACTGAGCCCTGGAGCTATCTTATGCATTGAGACAAGCAGGCTCTGAGCCTGTGCTCCCCCTGTCATGCTTTATTTTCCTAAGGCAGGAGTCACTTGTTCCTGTTAGTTATTATCCCTGACTCTCATAAAACAGTTGAACAAGGAGCATATGATTATCTGTGTCAGAGAAACTTGTCCCAGGAGCAAGCAGTGGTCCCTCTATGTCCCACGGGGCTCGGGTCGGAGTATAAAGGAAAGTGAGGGGTTGAGCGTCCGTCCCAGCACTGGTGCTGACTTCCTTCTCCTCATTCCTCCTGGGCCTTGAAGATGGAGAACTTTATTCCGGGACATCATACAATTTTTTGGGAAGTGAGCCCATCATCTCCCGAAATTCTTCCCACAGTCCTCTGAGAACGGAGTACGCAATACCTTGGCTCAACGGTAAGAAGCGGGCGGTGACATCGAAGGTGTGTTTCTACACAGGTGGCCTCCTCACCAGGAGAGCCCCATGGCGCTGTAATGCTAGAACCTTTTGCTGGCTTGACCTCTTGTGTGCCCCCGAGCTCTTGTCAGCTGGTGTGGTGGGTGAGCTTCTGGAACTGCTTGGGGCTGCAGCCACCTGGGCTTCCATGTTTTCTTTTTCACTGAGATCACTATTTAAGGCTGCCTTTACCCTCCTAGAAAATGGATCAAGGATGCTTTCCTAAAGTGAAGATCTGATGGTCCATGGGAGCTCAGGCTGGTCAGATCAGTGTGTGTTGTTGCCTTGCTACCTCTGGGCAGCATGTGTCCACGTTGTATTCACGGTGCAGAAGGCTCAAGGCCACTCACACAAGGCTTTTCTCCTGGGCACCAGCCAGCAGGACCAGGGCTTGGATATCCCCTAGACTCTCAGAGACAGGTGATGTGAGAGACAGCATGTCCCTCCTTTATGTAGGATGCCCTGCTGGTCAGGGGTTTGTCTGTCTGAGGCATGTGCCGTTTAAACCAACAAACACACATCTACTAGCAGGTCTCTGGGGTGGTGGGATCTGGCTCTCCTGGGCCCTAGGCTGCTTGGCCAGTTGGGAGGCCCAACCTCCAGTTCTTGGGGCCGATCAGGAGCATGTGCTTCAGAACCACATCAAGACACTTCTTTGGGCTGAGGAGGACGAGATGGGCCCCATCATCACTCTGGACACTGAAGTTTGGGGCACGACACATGCACCCTCTGTGTCTTGCAGGGAGGGTGTGCAGGGACATGCCCGAGCTCCTTGGCATGTTCAGGGATATGCCTGGGTCCCTCCATAAATTCAGGTATGTGCCCAGGACTTTCTCTGTGTGCAGGAGGTGCCCATACTCCTCAGGGGTGGGGTGGGTGGAGGATCACCAGGTGTCTCTTTCTTACAGAGCCCAACTTTGTCTATGCTGATGTAATTCGAGAAAGCCCGGACAGCACCGAGGGTGGGGACGACAAGATCTACTTCTTCTTCACAGAGGTGTCTGTGGAATATGAGTTTGTCTTCAAGTTGATGATCCCCCGGGTAGCGAGAGTGTGCAAGGTGAGGCTGTTTCCTCATTTCTCTTTGTTTCCATCTGTGGGGACAGAATGTAGGATTAGTCACCTCACCCAGGCCTCATACTTCCCTCAAAAGGTCAATTTATCTACCGTGCTGTTACTCAGTGCCACAGGGGTCAGTGTGAATGTTTTTTCCTTCTGGGGCATGTGGAAGGAGGTGGAAACCCAGGAAGCTTAGCACCCTGAGTGACCGGTAATTAGCTTCCTGTCCTCAGAGGGTCTGCTTTTGACACACCTTTCTCAGACCTCACCTGGATTACAGGAGGTTACTTTTTTGTTTTTCCTCCTTTGTTCTCCTCCACTGAGAAGGAAATCCCTACACCCTTGTCCATGTCCATAAGTCATGCATATGGGTTCTTTGGCTACTCTGTTCCCTATGCTGTACTTTACATCCCCATTCAAAGTATTGAAAAGCAAGGGCCTACAACTAAGATTACTCTACCCAGCAAAGCTATCATTTGGGATCGAAGGGCAGGTAAAGTGCTTCCCAGGCAAGAAAAAAACTGAAGGAGTTCATCATCACCACACCAGTGTTATATGAAATGTTAAAGGGTCTTCTTTAAAAAGAAGAAGAAGATCAAACATATAAAGATGGACTGGGGAACCAACGCATCCACTGAACAATAAAATGACAATACATATCTATCAAAACAAAGCAAACAAGCAGAACAGAAACAAAATCATAGATACAGAGAACATTTTGATGGTTGCCAGGTGGGACAGGGGTCAGGGAGATGGATGGAAAAGGTGAAGGGATTAAGAAGTACAAATTGGTAGTTATAGAAAGTTACGTTTTGTTCACCATATTAACCAAATTCTGTTGGAGTTGGGCTTTCACCATTCCAGTGTAAAGTTTGTGAGAGATTCATTTTTAGTTGTATCCAAAATAGACAAGGATGCTTTAGTTTTACATCCCTCTGCATCCTTATTTCTGAATTTCAATATTTTTCTCTGGATCAAGTCATAGTAGGTGTGTTCTATGATTGTCACTAAAAAGTGTTTATGGAGAATCTGGCAGGTCCAAAGCACGTCAGCAGAAAATGTTGGGGACAGAAAGGAAGTGAAGATCCTGTTCTCCCATGAAGAGCATCTTTGGGGGAAGACCAAACCTGCACACATTGGCCTGAGACAGACTGGGGAACCAACAGATCCACTGGCTCCTGACCGCACAGGTCACTCAGGACAGGTCACAGACATGCAGAGGCCACAGGGTCAGAGCCATGAAAGTGTGAGACAGCCAGGCGCTCTGACACTGAATGTGTGCAGGTTTGAACAGCTGTTCTAGCTACCATGGGTGGCTTTTCATCAGCGGAGTTGTGTTGGGTTGGTTTTAATCCACAGCCCAAGCTGCATGGAAGGACTGCTGAGTCACATAGTTGTCTGCAGTTGGCTTTTTTTCAGCGTGGCTTCATTTCATGCAGACAGAGCTATTCTGGGCCCAAGCGCCTCATTTGTCACCTGTGCACAGGGAGTATGCCCTTGTCCTACCTGCACATCCTTGCATTTCAGGGGGACCAGGGTGGCCTGAGGACCTTACAGAAGAAGTGGACGTCCTTCCTGAAGGCCAGGCTCATCTGCTCCAAGCCAGAGAGCAACCTCATCTTCAATGTGCTGCGGGCCCTCTTCATCCTCAGGTCTCCAGGCCTGAAGGAGCCTGTGTTCTATGGGGTCTTCACCCCACAGCTGTAAGTGCCAGGGCTTTGGGGGTTTTCTCCATGCTCCCACCCTCCAGGCAGTCATGTGGCCCTTTCCTCCCCAGGAACAACGTGGGGCTATCAGCTGTGTGCACCTACAACCTCTCCACAGCTGAGGCGGTCTTCTCCCGAGGAAAGTACATGCAGAGTGCCACAGTAGAGCAGTCCCACACCAAGTGGGTACGCTACAATGGGGCTGTGCCCACGCCGAGGCCAGGGGCGGTAAGTGACAGGGGCCCAGGCTGCAGGAACTTAGTGTGGGACGACCATGCTGCAACCCCTGCACCACTCAGCACATACCTGTGTGTCATACCCTGGTCCGTGTCTGTCTCTGCAGGGAGCGGGCATCCCCGTGGGACTGGGATGGGCGACAGGTACTCTAATCTTTTCCTGTGTTCCTCTCATTGGCATGTTGTGTAACTGCTGTTGCTGCATACTGCCCCAATAGGAGTCTGTTCTGGCTGGCACAGGGTATTCTGTGGAATTAATGTTGCGTAATATAGTTAGATCCATTTCATTTTCTATTTTCTTTTTTTTAGGATTTTTAAAATATATTTTATTGATTATGCTATTACAGTTGTCCCATTTCCCCCCTTCTCTCCCCTCCATCCTGTACCCCCTCTCCCACCCACATTCCCCTGCCCCTTTAGTTCATGTCCATGTGTCATGCTTATGAGTTCTTTAGCTTCTACATTTCCCATACTATTCTTGCCCTCCCCCTATCTATTTTCAACCTACATTCTATGCTAGTTATTCTCTATACCTTTTCCCCCTCTCTCCTCCTCCCACCCCCCTGTTGCTAACCCTCCATGTGATCTCCATTTCTGTGTTCTGTTCCTGTTCTAGTTGTTTGCTTAGTTTCTTTTGGTTTTGCTTTAGGTGTGGTTGTTAATAATTGTGAGTTTGCTGTCCTTTTACTATACCTATTTTTTCTTTATCTTCTTTTCTTAGATAAGTCCCTTTAGCATTTCATAAAATAAGGGCTTGGTGATGATGAACTCCTTCAACTTGACCTTATCTGAGAAGCACTTTATCTGCCCTTCCATTCTAAATGAGAGCTTTGCTGGATAGAGCAATCTTGGATGTAGGTCCTTGTCTTTCATGACTTGGAATACTTTTTTCCAGCCCCTTCTTTCCTGTAAGGTCTCTTTTGAGAAATCAGCTGACAGTCTGATGGGAATTCCTTTGTAGGTTACTGTCCCCTTATCTCTTGCTGCTTCTAGGATTCTCTCCTTCGTTTTTACCTTGGCTAATGTAATTATGATGTGCCTTGGTGTGTTTCTTCTTGGGTCCAGCTTCTTTGGGGTTCTCTGAGCTTCTTGGATTTCTTAGAAGACTATTTCCTTTGCCAGGTTGGGGAAATTCTCCATTATTATTTGTTCAAATACATACTCAATCTGTTGCTTTTCCCCTTCCCCTTCTGGTACCCCTATAATTCAGATGTTGGAACGTTTAAAGAAGTCCTGGATGCTCTTAAGCTTCTCCTCATTTTTTTGAATTCTTATTTCATCATGCTTTCCTGCTTGGTTGATTCTATCTTCTTTCTGGTCCACTGTATTGTTTTGAGACCCAGTTTCCATCCCTTCATTATTGGCTCTCCTCTGTATATCTTCCTGCATCTCTTTTATGGTAACCTGCATCTTTTCATCTAATTTGCGGTCAAAATCAACCAATTCCGTGAGCTTTCTGATCACCAGTGTTTTGAACTGTGCATCTGATAGACTGGCTATTTCTTAGTCGCTCAAAAGGATGAGTCCTGGGGGACTGATCTGTTCTATTGGAAACATGTCTCTCCCAGTCTCTCCTTTTTTTTTTTTTTTCTTTTTTTTTTTCCGGTCTGGTCGGTCTTGTTAGGTGGGCGGTGGAGCCTTAGATGTTCACTGGGGCTGGGCACCCGAGTGGCTAGATTGTGACGTTATATGTGGGGGCGGGAGCGGGGGCGGAGGCGGGGGCGGGAGGAAACAATGGCAGTAGTTCTGTTCTCCTGGGATCTCAGTCTCTTCTCTGGGATCCTGGGCTGTGAGCTCTGCCCTGGTCCGCCAGCTGCAGCTTGCGTACTCAGGGACCCCCGCTGCGTTCTTGTGTGCTGGATGGCTTTCACGCCTATTTTGTGCCTAGTTTTCCCTGACCTCCCCTCTCCGCCGACCCGCGCCCACCAACCCGCGCCCGCCGGGCTCTTCCACTCCTACCAGTCTGGATGTATGGGTCTGCTTCAACTTCTTGGGGCTGTCCGACTTCCATTCAGATATATCCTCTATCAGTTCTGGGTGTTATTCTAGTTGTAAATTGTTGTTGTTCTAATCTTGGTTGTGCGAGGAGGTATGGTGCGTCCACCTATTCCTCCATCTTGCCGGAAGTCTCCCCCATTTTCTCTTTTCTGTAGAGAAACATATGATTTCTTGGCAAAGATCTGGTCAAAACACATGATTTCATGTACTCTCTATTTATTAATATGAATCACACTTTGTCTCTTAAAAGTAGTGAATTTTATGTAGAAATCAGTTTCTAGACCAATTCAGTTTCTAGGTCAATTTGGCTATGAGCATTCACCCTGTGACTGGTGTGTGAGGCTGTGTGTGTGGCCCAGGACGGGGGCTGTGACCTGAGGGAGTGGCCTAGTGCCTGGGGCTCACCCTCAAGACTGTCTTTCTTCCCTGGCACCAGTTACTACTTCTTCCATACATATTATTAAGTAAAACATGTTCACTTGGGTCACAAGTTTTGGGTTGTGCACATCAGGACCTAGGACAGAAAAAAGAATAGTTCATGCTCTTGACCTTTATGCTGTTTAGAATTGGACCATTTCTGACAATTTTTTACCAGTCGTCTTCTCTTATGGGTAAGCTATCAAATAATAAGTATTTAGTTTTTATTTCAAAAACTTAATATTTTTTTCATTTATAAATAGATGAAAAATTACCTCCCTATGTATCATGAGCATAATTATATCTTGTGAGTAAAAGGACACTTGTGTCTCCTACAGCTTTGTGATGCTATGTCTTCAGATTTCTGAGCATCTTGGTTCTTCCCCTTTTTCAAGAAATCCACTCTGCAGGCCCTAGTGTTATGCCTCCTGGAAGCCTGGCTTTGTGCAGAGCACATGGGGGCTGTCTGCAGATGATGGTTAACACAGTGGTGTCTGCTCTCTGCAGTGCATCACCCACGAGGCGCGGGCGGCCAACTTCTCCAGCTCTCTCAATCTGCCCGACAAGACGCTGCAGTTTGTCAAAGACCACCCTCTGATGGATGACTCTGTGACCCCAATAGACAACAGGCCCAGGCTGATCAAAAGTGGTGTGAACTACACACAGATTGTGGTGGACCGGACCCAGGCCCTGGATGGGACCATCTACGACGTCATGTTTCTCAGCACAGGTGGGTCCCAGGCCTTGGGTAACAAAGTTGGTAAATCCAGCTTGCCTTTGCTGAGTGGAGCTACCATCTTCCTCAGGTGCACAGGGCAGTTTCGGTTTCTGAGAACTCTCTACACCCTGGTGGCTTCAGATCTCTGTGACCATCAGACCACTTGGGCACTTGTTAGAAATGCGAGGCCTGGTCCAGGTCTGGAAATTCAGGTTTGGTAGGTCAGGGTTGGTGCCAAGGGAGCCAGATGAGAGCACCTCTCTCCTGCCTGTCCTAACCTGCCATGGGAAGCACTGTTTCCCAGGAGCCTGTGGATTAGGAAACAAGTATTTCTGGAATGGGAGTCAGTAGCCAGCACAGCAGCAGTTAGCAATGCTGAGGTTGGCCCTGAGTGCCTTCTAGCCATGCCTCTGAGCAGCACGGAGGGCCCTGCCCTCACCTGTCAGGGGCCACCTTGCAGGATGGCACCCCTGGGGCTGGTGGAGCCCCAAAACCACTTTAGGTTGGTCTTATGTCACAATGTTGGCTGCACTGGTAGAGAAGTTGGCGTCAACCATGAAAATCAGTTTATTCTTCATAGAACACTGGGAATAACCGATACCACTTGAGTTTCCATTGTTTATTTTGCCATGGCTTTTCTTTTTCTATTTCTAATGCAAAAATGCCATCTGTTTCCACGTCTCTTGCTAAGGGAAGGAGTGGAGAGCAAGAAGGGTGACTGCTGACAGCTCTTGCTGACAGTGCAGCAGTGTCGTCTCCTTCCAGGGCGAGTCACTGACCTGTGCTTTTGACCTTGCAGACCGGGGTGCCCTGCATAAAGCCATCAGCCTTGAGAACGACGTTCACATCATCGAGGAGACACAGCTCTTCCAGGACTTGGAGCCAGTTCAGACCCTGCTGCTCTCTTCCAAGAAGGTAAAGTGACTGCATGGCTATAGGCAGGGGTGGCCTTCTCATGGCCTGGTGTCTCTGTGGTCACTGGGCTGGGGCTGGCCAGGCCCCTTTGTCTGTCTAGCCCAGAGGAGCCCACCTTTGGGCTCTTACAGAGTCTTTTGCTCTGTGGAGTTTGGGCTAGGGGGAGGCAGTCTGGGGAGATGTAACTTTGACCTGAAAGTTGGCAGACCCCCACTGAGTTGGGGACCACATTATGCTTGGGGGGTTACATGCTGGCCTACGATGAAAACACTTCCAGTGACCTGAACTTGGCAAAGGTGAGCCCCTGTCAGCGGTATGCTGTTGATGTGGCCTACACATCAGCATAGAAACCTTACTCTGGGTGCTATTCCCTCCGCTTAGATGTAGCAGTACCTCTTCCATCAGGGTGTGCAGACCTTTTCTTTAAAGGGCCAAGATTTTGAGGCTCTGAGGGCTGCATGGTCTTGGTCTGTCTTCTGGCAAAGGGTGGTGGGGCCCACCTATGAGCCAGTGGGCCTGCTTGTGATCCTGCAAAGCCTTCGTGAACGCCAAGCTTGCAGGTCATGAAATTTCCATCTCATGTCACAAATATGCCTTTTAATTTCTTTAACCAATTAAAAATACAAACCCAATTATTAGCATTTGGGCTATATAGAAACAGCCAAGGGGCTGGATTTGCCCTGCTGGCAGCAGGCCATCTCCTGCCATCTGTCCACAGTGGCCTGGGGAATGTGTGCCCATTTTACAGCTGGGGTAGAACTGTGTAGAGCAGAGGGCAGGCTGGGCACTAGGGCATTTGGTCCAAACCCTGGCTCCATGGTGCCTGACTATATGAGTCTGGGCAGGGCAGTCCTGCCTCAGCTTCCTAATCTGTACAGTGAGAACAGCAGACCATATATACAAGGGGCCTCACTTAGCCCCACCCTATGACTGGCACAAGACCTCACTTCTTGTGGGTATCCCCACACTGTGACCCCTGAGCTGATGGGCTCTAGGGTCTTGGCAGTGCCAGGGTTAAAAACTAGAAATCACAGGTAGGCCGTGTGCCCTATTCCCCTTGGTTGCAGACACACCCATCACTCACCCTTTCCCGCCTGCAGCCCTTTTCAGAGCCTTGTCCAGGGCCTCAGGCCCAGGTACTGTCCTACTCTGCTCTGTTGTTGAGCTTCTGGGTTTGACCTTCTGCCCTCTCGAGTAGCCCTCCCTCTCTGGATATGGGTGGAGCTTCATAACCTCTCAGCACTTCCTCCTAGCTTGGTTCCTGGCAAGAGCCTCCACCCAGCTTATGGGCCTGGGCCCACTCCCACCCACTTTTCCCTTGGCTCCAAACTGTGGGCCACCTGGCATTGTTGAAAGAAGACCCAGAAACCCTTCCAGCAGCCACCATGTTCCTCAGGTGCAGGGGCCAGCACCCTGGAGGCCTCCAAATTGGAGAAAGCTCATCAGAACAAAGGTCAGGCCCCAGTGCAGATATGCAGTGACAATGAGGCTCTGCTTGGCTCCACATGTCATTCAGGGACCCAGGCGGGCCCTACCATCTTGAACACATCTGAGGCACTTGAGTGGGTGCTGATCTAGTAGTTGGGAAAAGGTGGCAGGGTCTGGTGTGGGTGGTTATGGATCAATCCTATGCTCACACACCTTCAGCCAGGATTTCATCACACAGCTATGCAGTGCAGGAAGACTTGGGGCCTGGCAGTGCAGGAAGACTTGGGGCCTGGCAGTGCAGGAAGACTTGGTACCCCAGGGGAGCCTGGCAGTGCAGGAAGACTTGGTACCCCAGGGGAGCAGTTTGCATCTTCCCACAAGAGCCCCCCCACACTGTGGTGTGACTCGTTTACCTATAAGAGGTGGGAATGCACCCTGCACACCATGGCCAACTTTTCCTTGTCCTTAGGCTGGTGGGCTCAGGGTAGGTTGGGGGGATGCCAGCAATGCTGCTGGTAGAGCAGGAAGTGGGTGTTCAAGGGTAAAAAGAGCCCCCATAAGGGGACTCACCACAAATAAGGTCTTCAGTGTCACTCACACCTGGCCCTGTTGTAGAAAGCTGAGGAGCGCTGCCGAGGCAGGGCTGTGGAAATAGACAGGACAGCACATGGCCCTTCCTCTTTCCTTGTCTCGCTTCCTTGTCTCTTCCCTGATGACGAATGCATTTGGTTTGTTCGGTTTGTTTTATGTGATAAATACATATCACATAAAATTTACCATTTTGTCTTTCTAAGTGCATACTTTTACCAGTAATAAGTGCATTCACATTGTCATGCATCCCTCACCACATTCACCTCCAGAACTTTTTCATCCTGCAAATATGAAGCTCTCTCCACATTAAGTACCAACTCCCCAGTCCTCCCATCCCCACCCTGGGCACTCCTCCTTCTACTTTCTATTTCTGAGTTTGACTATTCTAGGGGCCTTGTATTTTGTGACTGACTGACATTACTTAACATAATGGTCTCAGGTTCATTCATATTGTAGCATGTGTCTAAATTTTTCTTTAAAACTGAATGATACTCCCCTGTACAGATAGACCACATTTTGTTCATCCACTGAGGAACACTTGGGTTGCTTCCACTCCTAGGCTTTGGTGAATAACACTGCTATGAACATGGGTGTACAAATACCTGCTTTCCTGCTTTGAATTCTTTGGGGAATGAATGGCAAATGCGCTTTCCACCATCGTCGTCGAGCTCACAGAGCAAGCTGTGTCTTTTTCACACGTACACTCTTTGGTCTTGAGATACTGCCTACATGGCCAAGGAAAGAAAACATCTTAAACAGCTTTTTTCAGCTCTGTCCACATGCACCAGGCACCCACCGCAGGGTTGAATGTGTGCTGTGTGCACAGACACCACACCTGACAGTGTGAGCCCAGTGCTGTGGCCAAGGAGCAGGGGGAAAGGGCTGGGCACACTCTATAAACCTCACAGATGCTAGGCAGTCCTTTGTCAGGAGGTTTTTCCTAGGCCTTTAAAAGTGCTTTATTTTGGAATAATTCTTTTAAATATATTTTATTGATTGTGCTATTACAATTATCCCATTACCCCCCTTCATTCCCTCTACCCTGCACACCCTCTCCCACTCACATTCCCCTGCCCCTTTAGTTCATGTCCTTGTGTCATAAGTTCTTTAGTTTCTACATTTCCCGTACTATTCTTGCCCTCCCCCTGTCTATTTTCTACCTGCCATCTATGCTACTTATTCTCTGTACCTTTTTCCCTCTCTCCTCCCACTCCCCTGTTGTTAAGCCTCCATGTGATCTCCATTTCTGTGGTTCTGTTCCTGTTCTAGTTGTTTGCTTAGTTTCTTTTTGTTTTTGTTTTAGGTGTGGTCATTAATAATTGTTGAGTTTGTTTTCATTTTACTATACATGTTTTTTATCTTCTTTTTCTTAGATAAGTCCCTTTAACATTTCATAAAATAAGGGCTTAGTGATGATGAACTCCTTTAACTTGACCTTATCTGAGAAACACTTTATCTGCCCTTCCATTCTAAATGATAGTTTTGCTGGATAGAGCAATCTTGGATATAGGTCCTTGCTCTTTCATGACTTGCAATATTTTTTTCCAGCCCCTTCTTGCCTGTAAGGTCTCTTTGGAGAAATCAGCTGACAGTCTGATGGAAACTCCTTTGTAGATTACTGTCTCCTTATCTCTTGCTGCTTCTAGGATTCTCTCCTTCATTTTTACCTTGGCTAATGTAATTATGATGTGCCTTGGTGTGTTTCTTCTTGGGTCCAACTTTTTTGGGACTCTTTGAGCTTCCTGGACTTCCTGGAAGTCTATTTCCTTTGCCAGAATAGGGAAGTTCTACTTTATTATTTGTTCAGATAAATTTTCCACTTGTCACTCTTCCTCTTTCCTTCTGGTACCCCTGTAATTCGGATTTAGACTGTTTAAAGATGTCCTGGAGGTTCCTAAGCTTCTCCTCATTTTTTTGAATTCTTATTTCTCCATTCTTTTCTGTTTGGTTGTTTCTTTCTTCCTTCTGGTCCACTCTATGATTTGAGTCCCAGTTTTCTTCCCATCACTATTGATTCCCTGTGCATTTTCCTTCATTTCTCTTATCGTATCCTTCATTTTTTCATCTAATTTGTGACCAAAATCAACCAAGTCTGTGAGCATCCTGATCACCAGTGCTTTGAACTGTGCATCTGATAGGTTGGCCATCTCTCAGTCACTTAAAAGTAGTGGTTCTGGGGCTTTCAATTCTGTTTGAGCCATCTTTTTTTTTTCTTTGATCTGGTCACACCAGTTACGTGTGAGGGGTGGGGCCTTTGGTGTTCACCAGGGCGGGGCACCCCAGTCACTGGCTTGTGACGTTGTGTGTGGGGGCGGGGTCCGAGAGGGAACAATGGCACTTGCTCTGCTCTCTGTCAGACCTCAGTCCCTTCCGGCACTTCCCCCAGCAAACTGGGCCCCTCTGGTGCCAATTCCCGTATGGGTGGGCTTGTGCATCCCGTGGGGCTTTCCAATGACCTCTCGTGTGAGGCTGGGAGTCTCTCCCTGCGCCTCAACTCCCACAGGTGTTTTCAATCAGTGCCCCAAGGCTCTATTTACCAGCGCTGTGATCCTGGGTTGCTCGCAGTGCCTTGGTTCACAATTCTTGCCTTGCTGGGTCTGCCATTTGCCGCCCCTCAGCTGAGGTTTACCAGCTGCTGCTTGCGCACTCAGGGTCCACTCGCTGTGGTCTTGCGCGCCCTGGATGCCATACACTCCTGGTCCCAACGCTCTCTGCTCTCCACACTGTGACCTGTGCCTGGCTGCCCAACTCCGCCCTTCCTACCGGTCTGGATGTACGGGTCTATTTTAACTTCTTGGTTGTCCGACTTCCATACAGTTCAATTTTCTGTCAGTTCTGGTTGTTATTCTGTTTCTAAATTATTGTTGTCCCTATCTTGGTTGTGTGAGGAGGCACAGTGTGTCTACCTATCTTGGCTGGAAGTATTTTTTGGAATAATTTTAAATTCAAGGAAGAGTTGGGATGATAGTACAGGGAATCCCCATAGGCCATTCACTCAGCACACGCCTGTTTTATCTGAGGGGTTCTGGTGGCCCAGGTCTCTTAGTGGATGCCCCACATTCCCACAATATCATTGTGGGCTCCAGAGGGGGCTCCCCAGGTGGCCCAGGCAATCCATTCTGTGTTGTATCATGTCCACGCTTTTGCTAGGGTCCCTTTGTAGCTCCTGATGGCCCTTTGAAGTTGCCTGCTTGGCCTCTTGCCCCAGGAGATTTTCCTCACCTCTGCAAGCCACATGACTCCCTAACTGTGCTCTGTGGTACCCTCACTCTTTCTGACCATGGCGGGCACGTGGCATCCTCTGCCCAGGTCTCTACTGACGTGCACAGGCAGGCAATGGGCCTGGTTTCTCTGCTGTCTGTCCCACAGTTTGACTGCATGGCAGAGGAGGGGACTTCCCTTCTTTTGGCTGTGCTTGTACCTGTTGGGTTTGTGACCTTCAATGCATCACAGGCCAGGAGATCTAGGACCAAATCAGGGACTTTGAGCTTCAGCCAGACTCTGAAGTTAATTAGACCTGTCCTCTGAGGATGAAGGCTGTTGTGTCTCATCTGAGTCAAAATACTAAGCTCTGTGTAAACTTGGAATCTTCTGATACTAATCAGAAGGTCTTTCTGGCATGTCAAGATGACATGTAGGCTCCCAGGCAAAGGAGAGAGTGAATACCAACAGCCGAATTACAAGTCCCAGATCTGCTCCAGTGGACTTGTATGGGGCCTTGTTCTAGCCAAGCTCAGTGGGGAAGTCAGCCAGCCCTGATGGCATGTGTGCCAGCTGTCTGCCAGCTCTGGGCACTGCCAGAGGGAGTCAGAGGGTGGGGACATCCCAAACCAAGCGTGCCAGAGCACCAAGGAGTCTGCTCTTCTCTGCTTCTGAGCGTGGCAGTCTAGTTTCCATCTGCATGTTCCTCCCTCATAAATGCAGACGTGTGACATGTGGACACCTCATCACTTTTATTTCATTTACTAACATGGTGTTCACTCTCCAGCGACCTTTGTTTGTGCCCCCTGCTGTGGGCTGGGTGCAGACACGGGACACTGCACTCTGCACTCTGGAGCTCATGCTGGGTTCTGAGGCTGTGCCCTGCAGCCTCTGGCCTTCAGTGAGACCAGATGTGTCCAGCTGGTGGGTCCTTCTCCCAGAGGGGGCTGAACAGGCTCAGAGATGTGCTCTGCTGGTGGTCGGAGGGTGGCGGATGCCTGGACATGGATGGAGGGGTTGGGGCCAAGGCCCAGTGCACCTGAGTTAGTGCGCAGATCTTGCTCGAAAATCATGCGCTGCTCATGGTTTCACACACTGCCCTCAGGTTTGTCCGGAATACGAGCCTGCCTTGCTCCTCCTGCAGGAGGCACTTTGTCACCCTCACTGTCATGTTCCTGGCTGCCTGGGGCCCACCCATTCTCATCTGTTTACACCCACAGGACAGAAGTTTTATCTATGCTGGTTCCAACTCGGGTGTGGTCCAGGCCCCTGTGGCCTTCTGTGGAAAGCACAGCACCTGCCAGGACTGCGTGTTGGCCCGGGACCCCTACTGTGCCTGGAGCCCTGCCAGGGCGGCCTGTGTGGTCCTGCATGAGACCCACAGCTCAAGCAGGTACCCAGCGGCGGGATGTAGGGCATGCAGGTGCTCCACCTGCCCCACCTTGAGAGCATGTGCCAGCTCTGTGCCCCTTGTTTTGCAGGGGTCTGATTCAAGAGATGAGCGGGGATGCGTCCACTTGTCCTGGTAAGTTGCTCATTCTCTTTGTGCTCCCTTCAAGATCGGCCAGTCTTGTAACCATTTCATGATGCTTTGGTGCTGTGGCATTTTGCATTTTTTTCTTGCTCTACTCAGAACAGAGGTCAAGTATCTTTTGGCAGACCTCGTGACCTTTCTCTGAAGCTTTTATTGCGGAAAAGGATGTTTGAAGCCACACAGTATTTATGTGTACTGGAAATCACTCGATCTCAAACTGTAATGTCTGCTCTTAAGATGCTTCTCTCTTCTCTTAGCTCGGGCTTATTAAATGAAACCTGTACCTCTTGTGAACTGGAGGAAAGATTAGTCCTCGAGCAGTCAAGTCAAGGCATGGGTAGTGTTTCCCTTGGGTGATACCACTCCCTGCCAGGTGTCCAGGTGTGTCCCAGTAGAAAGCAGACATGCCCATGGGCTCCTGCCTTCGAGTCCCTGACCTGATAGCTGTTATCAGTAACGATAAGTTTAGGAGGAGGAGAGCACCACTCAGGCTGATGTGTGCAGTGGCCACTAGCAAAAGCGTGTCATGTTTGACTCAGAGTACAGCTTCAGAACATGCAGCTGGCCAATGCTCAGCGTCCCTGCCTGGTGCATTTTCTCCTAGGAAACCAGGGTGTGAAATGGGATTTCTACTGCTCAGAGATGCCTCCTATTCTTTTGTCTCCATGATCTGCCATCTAGGACTCATCTTTGCTCTTTGGTCACACACGTCTTTATCTCCTTAGTTGTTCTGGAAGATTCCGTGTTGCTCCAGTGGGTGAAACTTCTGTGTCCTCTTGTGCATATTACCTATTTTTAAAAAGAATATAAGTAGCAAGCAGGGTTGTTGACGCTGTGCGCATTTATTTTGATGTTCCAGATAAAATTAAGGGAAGTTACCAGCAGCATATTTTCAAGCATGGCAGCACAGCAGAACTCAAATGCTCCCAAAAGTCCAACCTGGCGCGGGTGGTATGGAAGTTCCAGAATGGTGTTCTAAAGGCTGAGAGCCCTAAATACAGCCTGGTAGGTAGGAAGAACCTGCTCATCTTCAATCTGTCAGAAGGAGACAGTGGGGTGTACCAGTGCCTGTCAGAGGAAAGGGTCAAGAACAAGACAGTCTCGCAGGTGGTGGCCAAGCATGTTCTAGCAGTCAAGATGGTCTCATGGAGCCCGGTGGCCTCCTCCTCACCAGCCACTTGGACGGAAGGTATTAGGATCACCCCCGAAGTGTCAACAGGGCCCATCCAAGGCTCTTCTCCCCAGACCCCAGCTGTGCGGCTTACCACTCCTTCCAGCCTGGTGCCCACCAGTACATCCTGTGAACCAAAGATCGTTATCAACACAGTCTCCCAGGTCCAGTCTGAGAAGACAATGTATCTCAAGTCCAGTGACACCCGCCTCCTCATGTTCCTCTTCCTCTTCTTCTTTGTTCTCTGCCTTTGCCTCTTCTCCTACAACTGTTACAAGGGCTACCTGCCTGGACAGTGCCTCAAATTCCGTTCTGCCATGCTGCTGGAGAAGAAGCAACCCACCTCAGATTTCTCCGACTGTGAGCAGAGTGTGAAAGAGACACTGGTGGAGCAGGGCAGCTTTTCCCAGCAGAATGGAGGGCAGCCCAGGCCAGCCCCGGACACGGGCTATGAGACAGAGCAGGACACCATGGCCAGCAGAGTGCCCACCGACAGGGAGGACTCACAGAGAATCGATGATCTTCCTGTCAGGGACAAGCCGTTCGACGTCAAGTGCGAGCTGAAGTTTGCTGACTCAGATGGGGACTGAGGTGTTTCCTGTGGAGAGGTCTTTGTGTTCCCATGCAGTAACCTTGTCCTGTGCCATGTAGGTAGCCCATCCTCCGCAAATCTCAGTCTTGTATCTTTTCTCTTGAGTCGAACTTTGACTTGGTTTCTCTTTGTCCTTTCGGAACACGGCAAGCATTGCACCTGGGCTCCCTCGGTCAGTTGGAGCGCTGTGAGCCGTACCTGCAAGCAGCGGGAAGATGGCTGGACTGCCACTGGCCTGGGAAGAGTAGTACCTTGAGTGTCACCTCCTCAAAAAGCAGCCACTGAAAGATAATTTAATTCCAGATTGGAAATGACTTTTTAGTTTATCAGATTGGTAACTTATCACCTGTTGTCCAGATTGGCACAAAGCTTTTCTTCTGCGTAATTATTTTTTAGGATTTTGCTTTAATTGTGTTGGAGTCTTAGGTCATTTATTTTTTAAATTACTAAAGCAGATATTTTAATATTCAGAAGATGTACATCTTCTAGATTTTGTTGTATGTTTGGATAAGATATGGCTTACGTTGCTTCAGATTCTCAGGGATAAACTTAATTTTGCTAAACACGTTCTTTCTGCTTTTAGAAATGCAGACAAAACTGTCTTTTGAGCACACTGACTTTTTCTTTTTAATTTCTTCAGGGAAGCATCATTTCAGAGAGATTTTCTTTCTATACTTTTTTCTCTTTTTAACTCTTGAAGAGAAGGTGTGGAGGCATCCCACGACCACCAGGCAGGGCTTTGAGTGAGGGGTGGTGGCCCCACGGGGCAGAGCTGGGCTGGCCCAGAGCCGAGGGGACAGGTATTTCACACTCCACTGCCTGTGGCCACTGGTCACAGCCTCCCGTCCCGACAGACTCTGGTTGTCTGAACATCTTTTCTTTTTGCTTCCACTTCACACCTCTTACCCACCCAGACTTTCCACTTGGCTGACCTGAGCCATCCACAGGTAGAAGAGAGCTGGGCAGCAGGGAAGGATGGGCCTGTGTCCACAGCTGCCCACAGACACTGCTGTGGCAGACCTGCGTGGCCTGGCACTGTCTTTAAGATGTGACGAGTGGTGCAGTTTAACATCGTTGACCTCGCACTCCACCTCCCGCTGTCCAAATACCCACAAGAGACTTTTTTCCATGGCAAAGAGCAATAAACTCTGGATTTGTGTGTGCCTGTGTGGACAGTCTCATCTTCCAGCATGATAGGATTTGACTGTTTTGTGTAAACAGTTGTGTTTTATAAGATTTACTTTGTTTTTATTTTTCTACTTTGAATTGTATACATTTGGAAAGTAACCAAATAAATGAGAAGCTTATATCCTAAATGTGGGCACGTGCTTTACTGAGGCCATGGAGCCTTCCTCTGGAAGGGTGTGATGGGCGGGATGGATGTCTTGTCCCTTCCATGTACGCCTAGGCAGGAGGCCAGGACAGTGCTGGGTACCTTTTTCTTCCTGACCTTGTTTTCCTTTTCTGCATGTGGTGTGTTCCTGATGACTTCTGTCTCAGTACCCTCTCTCTTTTCTGTCCTCTGTCTCACAGCCTCATCTCCTATGCCCTTCCCTCCTCCGGGGCCCTCTTCCCTGTCCTGTCTGGGCCCTGACTCATCTTCCTCTCCCCGAAGCCCCTGGCTGGCCTTGGGCTCCAGGCCTGATAGCCGCCCGAGGGTCACCTTGCTGCCGCCCTTCCTCAGTGACCAGGCCCAGCACGTGCATGCCCTGGGGACCTTTCATCTCTTCTGCCAGGCCACAGGTGAGCGGGGCACCTGTCCAGGTGGGGGGCGGGGCTGCAGGGGCCTCCTTCAACAACACTACCTTTCTGGCTCTGTACCTCAGTGATCCATAGCTATTGCTCTGAGCAGCTGGGCCCAACCAACTTGTCCCGTGAAGGCTGCATGTTAACTGTTTTAGGCTTAGGCCAGAGTTTCTGTCCCACTTGCTCAGCTCTGCCCTTGTGGCTTGAAAGCTTCCAGTGAGTGGAAGCTGTGCATCAATCAGACTATTTATAAACACCAGCCATGGGCCAGACGTGGCCCAAAGACTGAGGCTTACCAATCACTGGTTTATAGCAGCAATTTTCAACCTTTTTCATCTCATGGTGTGCAAAAAGCTGATTACAGCAGTTGAAAATCACTGGTTGATAGGATTATTTACATGTCTGAAAACAATCTGGGTTTGAGGATTTTGGATGTTTCAAAAATTAACTTCAGAACCTCCAGAATGGGAATTGTTTTAATGACTTGCTTGGTGATGCTTAAATGCAGAAAAGACCATACGTATAGTAGATGCCCCTCAGACCCGGAGGCATTCATTGGATAGTACTGGGATGAGACATCAGCACACCCACCTTTGGAGCCTGTGTGTGGGCATCCAAGTAGCCACAAAGAGAAAACAAGACACTACAGCCTTGGCAGTTCCATCCTTTACTGAGAGGAGGAATGAACTTAATAAGGAAAAAAAGCAAATCCTGTTTTGTTTAGTTTTTTGAGGTTTTAAACTATGAGCAGCTAAGAATGTCAAGCTGCTGCTTATCTCCCTGTTGAGTAAGCTCACTGGGCCTCTGATCGTCCTCTTGTCTGCTGTGAATCAACACACCTGTGGCCACTGGTGTTGAGCCACCAGGTGTTGTGCAGGGCCACTGATGGCTCTGCACAGGCCACGGGTGGTGGGCAGGGGAAGTTGCCTAAGAATGGGAGGTGGTAAAGCCAGACTTCAAGGACAAGTCCACATGGCCCAGGCTTGTGCTCTGGGCTAGGCCCCTGGCTACTGCTCCTGCACCAGTTATTCCCTTGGGGCAGCACCCAAGAATTGCTCCAGCCCCTGGGCCTGGCTTCTGCAGGCATACTGGCACCCTTCTTTTCTGTGGGAAAGTGGGGAAAACGGTGCTGGGTTCCTACTACCTGGTGGAGGATGGATGCAGGCAGGCCCTGTGGTTGAGAGCCATGCATTTTTTTACATGTGAGCTCTCAGGTATGTGTTACCTGTTCTCTGGCTGTGTGCATGCACATGGCCTCTGGGGTGGGGAAAAGGTGAAGACTGGGCCCTGGGAAAACAGATTTTGCAGCTGGATCAGAATGAGAAGCTACTCTGGGTATTTCAGACACGGGGAGTTTAGTGCAGGGGCTTTAGTTACAAAGATTATGGAAGGCTTGGGGGCCAAAGGGAGGTAAGGGTCCTCAAAACATAGTAAATACACTGCAGGTGGCCTCCTGTGGCTGTTGGGCAGGAGCAGTGAGGAGTCAGAGCAGCCCTCGCCCCACCACATGGCCATGCCTTTGCTACACTTGCTGCTGAGGGGCTTCAAGAAGCCTGCCCATTTTCTGTGAGCGCCTATATGGTTGGTCCTAGAGGAGCACTGGTGGCCTTGCAGCCCAAGCAGGTAAAGTGGACAGAGGGAAGTGAGGAGCCAAGTGGGTAGTCCCCTCAGTACCGCTGATCTGGGATGGCAGGAGGAGCAGGTGCTCAGGGTGGGTGGACCAGGGAAACAGAGGCCCCCAGCCCTACACCGCCCTCCTGTTCATAGGTTTACTGTTTCTTTCCAGAGTCATTTGCCCCACCTTGGACCTTCCCTAGTTTCACTGAGGCCATGACCTGAGACAGTGGGGTGGACTGGCCTTTCTAGGGAGCCTGTTGTGAGCCATCCAGGAGAGGGTGCTCTTTAGGTCCTGTTCAGGGTCAAGGCTACCCCAAGGGGTCCAAGGCTCTGCATTTCTCCCCAACCGGCTGAAGTCTGCAAACTGAACATCTTATACACACACATACACACTGTACACATGCCAACACACACTGCACATGCCACACAAACATGCCCCATATGCACACCTCATAAACCACACACAAACACACCCCAAACACATACACACTCTACACTACACACATCACAAACACCATACACCCCCATGCATGTCATGCACACCACACACAGCACATGTACAATACTGCATGTACAGCACATACTCCACACACACCACACAAACTACACACACAAATATATACACCACACCACACCCCCATCTGGGATCTTTGGAGCCTCCTGGAGATAGGGTGGTGCCTGCAGCTCCCCCAAGAACAGATCCTCTTTGGCAGCATGTGAGGGAAAAGTGAGTGCACCAGATAGTGCTAGGGGAGGGGAGGCCTCATACCAGACCACCACCTCACATCCTCATGTGGCCTTTGGCAGCCCTGAAGCCCTGCTTCTACTCCATGCTCTAGAGAGACTCCCTTCTCTGCTCTTTTCAGCAGGCAGAAACCAGGCAATGGCCCTCATGGGACTCACTGATGGGCCTTCAAACACCCACTCCTCAACCTGCTGCTCCTCAAAGCAATCTGCTATTGACACATGAAGCAGATGAGTGGGACCCTCTGTCTGAGGCCCTGCACAAGCCTCTTTCTGGGCCTGTTCTGCCACAGCCATAGGCATTGGGTGACTCCAGTGACACATCCAATCTAGGCATGTGTTGCCCTTCGCTCCTAAACCTGGTGCACAAGCCAGTGCTGGTTCACTGTGCAGTGTGGTTGTTCAAGCAGATAGTTAACGTGGCAGTGTCTCCGGCCACCCCAACCCCTGAGTCCTGGAAGGTGGCGGACTAAAGGCCAAGTCACTCTTCAAGCCACAGTCTACACAAGTGTTGGTTGATGCCTCTACAACCAAGATTCCTCCCTTTCCAGGTGACTTCCTGTGAAGTCACCACAGAGCTCAGTTTATGAAACCATGACACAGGGGCTCAGGCTCTGGCCTAGCTAAGGCCAGGTAGGCTTCTAAAGGGTGGCCACAGCCTCAAAGCTCAGTGACTCTGATCACCATCTTCCCTCTGTCTTCTGACCTTCTCGGTGTAATGTATGTATATGTACGTGTTTGCACGTGCATGCCTATATGTGCATTTGCATGTGTATTATGTGTATGCATGTATGTACATACTGATGTGTATGTGTACAATTGTGTGTGTTCTTTTTTGGCCCAAAGCACCCTGCACATTGTGCTGTGGCCATGCCTCCACTTGGCCTGAGGCCTGAACATGGCAAGAATTCTGGGTTCTGGAGTGGTCGTCCGAACTGCTGTCTTCCATCTGGAAGGGATCCACATGCGCTATGCAGAGTTAGGGGAATACTGAAAAGGAAAGAAAAGGGGGTCCTGAGCTGAAGAAATAAGTAAGCATGCAGTTGTTTTACTTTTCTGAAATAAAAAATCCATGCTCCTTGTGGCAAAATTAGAATTGCACAGATAAGCAATGAAATAACCCCACTGCCTACGCATAAGCACATGTAGCTTTGTTATAAATGTGGACAAAGAGGTGGTAGCAGTGGATAGTGATGTGTCCATATTCATGCATATGCAAATCATGTACTTGCATATGCATGTCTATAGACACAGAACTAGATCTATATAATTTCTTAACAAATGTGAAATCATTCTCTACCCTGTGGGTCCTACCCCCATCCTTGATATGACTGTCCTAAGTCATAGCTAGACCAGTGTCATTTTTAAAGCTAAGAATGGACCTCCTATACCTTAGGTAACATTTAGATATTCAGGTTTGGATGGCCTTTTATGTATTAACTGCAATGTCAGTGTTCAGAGCCTCATTGGCCCCTGGGGTCAGAGGGGCAGCAAAAGGAGGCCTGGGTTTCAGGAGGGTCCCAGTGTCCAAGCTCCTCCAGGGACCGTTGGTGCAAGTGTGTGTGTTGGGGCTCCTGAAAGGCCAAGGATGAGCTATCGGGGGTAGTTGACTCAAGAGTTGGTCATTTGCCAGAAAGGGCCACCTCTCCACATTGGGGCAAGGTGGTCCATCATCACCTTGCTAGAGTCTCAGTGCTTAGCATGTTTGATGAGGTGGTTTTTCCAGAAGCTGAGTCTCTTCTCTGTTGTGTGATAATCCATATGCCTTCACAATAGAGTGGTTCTGCCCTGTGGTTCCTCAGAGTCTCCTGTGTGCAGGAGTTTTGATCACAGAAGGGGACCCCCCATGAAGCTAGGAGACCATGTAGACACTCTTCATACCTCCTCAACATTGTCTGTAAAGCATCTTTGCCAGGTATAGTCCAGCACTTGAGACACACTGAAGAGGACAGCCAAAGAAATTGGGTGGTGGAGACCTGGCAGAGCACCTTTCCCCTTCCCAGCTGGGTCTGCCTGATTTCTGTGCCTTTGTGGACTCCAGGGCCTGCAGGGCAATGCATGATCCTGGGAGTCTGGCGTGAGTGTCTTTGGCGCATGCAGTCTCGGGGTGCTTCGAGAATGTCCCCCCAGGGGTGTACCCAGGCTCCTAGTTGCTGGCAGGACCCTAGGCATGGGAATGGGTGGTAGGCTAACTCACTGGCAGGTGGCC